CAATGTTAGAGAGCACATAAAAAAAACTATTATTGAAAGGACTAAATTGATGGTAGCGACTAATAATTGTCTAGGCATTTTATGGATGGAATTGATCAATGCAATTAATTTATTCATAAATATAAGCCCCACTTATATTAATTACAATAAGACACCAAAAAGATAATATTCAAAGTTTAAACCACATATAAATTACTTGTGGGCTTTTGCTTTAGTGGCCTACCTTCATGTATACAAAGAACAAAAGAAAAAATTAAAAAATAAAACTATTAGATACTTTTTTTAGACTACAATAAGAAAAATAAACTATACTAAGTATTTCATCTTATTTGCAAGAAGATACATTTGAGTCAAGACATTGTCTTTGATGAAAAAGCTTTTAAAATATAAATATGTTAGTATCAATTTATTTTCCACCCAAGAAATCTAATCTATTTCCAAAACCTTTATTGCAACCTCAAATATTTGAAGAACCAAAAATTACAACCTAAAATTAAGCTACATGTCAAAATTATTTCAATATAGAATAAGATCATGTAATAGATCATGTATTAGTCTATATTCATTTACAATAAAACTTCTAAGCATCACACTAAAAAAACCACCAGATCAAATTAAACAAAAGCTATATTAATATCCTATTAGAAACCAAAAATCAAATATAAATTATTATTAGAATTTCTTTATATTTTTATCTAAATTAGAATTAGATCTTCAAAACTATTCAAAAGCCATTTAAAATTTAAGCTAACAAGATATTATAAATAAAGAAATAAATTTTGTATGCAAAAATAAAATATGGAGTTTAATTGACTTACATTACGATCAAATTCTAATATCCATAAAATAGATATTTAAGGCAAAGTTAGGTTCGAATAGCAAAATAAAGAAATTGAAAGCTCAAAGTATAGCCATAAGATTCCAAAAAAAGATAGAATTGATTTTTAATTTTTTTTTTTGCTTGTGTAATACAATGGTTAACTATCAAATATGTAATAGCTTTAGCTACAACAAAAAATTGGAAGTTAAATTATTTAGATGTTAAAAAAAAACTTTCTTAAATGAAAAAATTATTAAAGAGCTTTACATAACAATTCCATTAGAATTTAAAAAACATGGTAGAAAAAAAAAGGTGTATAAGTTGGAAAGGATATTATATGGTTAATATCAAGCTCTAAGAGCCTGGTATTGAAAGATCATTATATACCTAATTGACAAAGGACTATAGAGAAGATAATATAACCTGAACATGTATTTCTGAAATAAAAGAGACAAATCTATTATTATTTTATTCTATATCATAGATATCATAATCATAAGGAATGATAAACAAAATATTTAGAAATTCAAAGAAAAAATGATATCATAATATGAAATGACTAATCTAAGAGACACTTGCATGTATCTTAGAGTAGAATTGTATTATGACAAATAAAGAATCTACTTCCATTAGTATAGATATATTTTATAGCTATTAGAAAGATTCAGCTATATACATTGTAAACTTCTAATTATTTCCATGAATCCAAAAATCAAATTAACAAAAGAAACCAATATCTCAACTATCAATTCTAAAATATATTAAAGCCTAATAAGTGGCCTTTTATATACCACCATCAGTAGATGGGACGTCTAGTATGTAGTAGAGTACTTTTGTTATACGCAAAATTTACAAATGGCATATTTAATAGCTAATAAAAACATACTTTGGTAATTAAAAAGAAACTTAGACTTTGGAGTTTATTATGTAAACCAAAGACAAGAGAGAGTTACTTATCTATGTAAATGTAGACTAAACAAGTGATACAGATTCATATAAATTAATCTTAGGAATTCTATACAAATCCCTAGAAAGATGATAGATACCTAGCATAGAATCCTAATTCTTTATAAAATCTTCTAGCACATGCCTTGTTTCAAACTTTCTAAATATGTATCCTTTGTAATCCTTGATTTTTTATTGATACTTAAGCTAACTTATATCTAATGTATTCCTAAGATTCATATATATTACTAATATAAAACATAAATTCTAACTTAAGAATGCATTAAGTACCTAGTTGTGGAAGATAAATAAAAAAATGCAACAACAAGACCTTAACAAGTTTGATAGAATCTTGAATAAATTCTAATTAAACCTTAATAAATATTATCAAAATTTAACCAATTTAAAAGAAGTTTAAAAGAAATTACTAGAAAAATATTAAAAAGTCAAACTAATCTTAAAAAATAATAAAGAAATAAAAAAATATTAAAATAAAATCCTAAAAATAAAATATATATTTTTTAAAATAATAAATATATAATTAAAAAAAATAAAAAATAATCGTTTGAAATATTAAAAATAGAAATTCTAAATAGATCCTATATAAGTCCTAGATAAATCCTAATAAAATCTTAATATAGCCTTAAATAATCTGAATGAAATTTCAATAATCTCAAACAAATTTTAACAAAACTCTAAACAAATTCTAATAAAATTTTGATCAAATTCTAATTAAATCCTAATCAAATCCTAAAATAATCCAAATAAAATTTTAAACCAATTCTACTCAAATATTAAACAAACTCTAATTAAATCCTAAATAATCCCAAAAAAATCTTAAAGAAATCTTAACAAATTTTTATAGCTATTTTAAAATTTCAATATATATTAATTGAACCATTAATCTTAACTAAAGTTTCACCTATATTTTAATTCACAAGCAATTAACATATATATTTAAAAAATTAAAATCACTAATTGAAAGAAAAAAGTCCTAAATCTCTTAGATATTGATTGTCCTCTCTCTCCAATTTAGATATTGATCTTTCAACAACAATTTTTCCTTGATAAATTGTTTAATTGCTTCAAAAATTAACTAGTGTATATATTCACAAGTTTAAATTGCTCTCATTGATTTTTGCTTCAATTAAATAAACAGTTTTTAGATGATTGCAATAATCCTTATAGACCCTAAATTTCAAATATATAAAATTCTAATCCAATAAAACTCTTATATCCTTTAATCTAACCATTAGATCAAAATTAAAAATTTTAAATATATTTAAGATAAGAACAATGAAAAACTCACAAAATTTTATTTGTAAATATGCTATGATATTCACATAATTTTTAAATTTAAAAACCTCTTTTTATTTTTCAAAATCCAAAACTATTGAGTACATCTCTTACTTTGAAAAGCCCTCAAAAACTCAATTACAAGAAATCAACTTTTAAAAAATCTTTCACAAGTTTGTACTTAAATTTTATCCTTTGTTCAACCAAAGAATCCTAGAATTGCCATAGGTGTATAATTTTGTGCCTCGAGGTCTAATTTCAACCTTGATTCACAACCGGTCTTCTTTGGATATCAATTCGTACTATTTTGAAGAATGTTTTATTAAAATTTATTCTTAACTTATTCTTAAAAATACTTATATGATTTAATTTCTGAATCTAATTTTTTTAGCTTTATTTGTGGCCTTAAAAGTACATAAAAGTTTTTTTTATATAAAAGGCAACATTAATACTATTTTACTAGCTTTCTATCATTTATCCATGTTTTATTATATATCTTTCTAGTAGGTTCTTTTATAATAAAACTCATATTTTTATCTTTCACCATATAATCATGTTATAACACAATATTATATAAAAATTATTATACACATGTCATCTACACTCCAAAAAAAAAGAAACCTTAGGATCAAAGTTTATTAAATCCTATTGCCTTATCTCTTAGTCTTTGTGTTCTTCCTTCTACTTCTTGAAGAACTTCTCTTGTGATTGTCTTATATTCTTCATACTCCTTACAAGATAAAGAAATCAATCACTATGAAAATGCAACACCAAACACAAGCTAGCAAAATCTTTGAAATACCATATCAATTAATCATAAACCAAAGAGAATAATTTGGAATTGGAAGGTTAAGACAATTAAAGATTGAGAGAGTTTTATTAAAATATACTTAAATTAAAATATGTATATATGTTGTGTATCATAGAGAATTCTTCCATTAACAATTACAATCTTTTTAGAGTGTCTATAGAAATAATCCTATATCAAGACATTAAGAAGTGAAGAAGTATAAATTGAAAGAAAATATTGATAAATCACTCTTATACTTTTTCTTTGTCATCAATTTTCTACATCACCAAATTAATTTATATTATCCTAATAAAAAATTAGTCTTATTCAAAATTCATGTCTATTATATATATATATATATATATATATCCCTTGTTCTGCTAATACATCTCTCTCTTCCAATGTTGATCACACTGCATATCTAGTTTGTGTCCATCATGCAACAATATCAATAGATTATATGATAGTAATTGTAGCTATGAATTTCAACATTAAGTTTTTTTAAGCACTAGTATGTTTGGCCATGTTATATATTAAATCAACATAAAGAAAGACCCAAGCAATTTGTTTGCATTTCATGTCCATCAATCTTGCATTATCTTTTGCAAAAGTTCTTATTTACACACTTCATTCACCAATAATTACATTTGTAAAGTGTATTGTAAGCTGACTTCTTACACTTGCTACATAAACCTACACACACTTCATCATTTACAATCATTTACAAAGCTGCAACCCTTTTGGAAGTAAACATCTGCAAACAAATTCTTATTTACAAAGGTTGAATCTGGTCAATACATTGCAATGAATTGCTTGCCCAATATTACAGCACACTAAAGTAAACATCATGAAATTAACAAGACTTTTCAGAATGGAAGAGAGATTCAAGAGTTAGTAGAGGAAGGTGAAAAGTTTGTCATCAACTTCTACTGCTTCTTCTTCTGTTTACTAGTGAAGAGTTGCAAATCGCCACTCTGCTTGTGCATAAGAGAGACAGAACACCTTCATCAACAAACTTGAAAATAAAGACACATGTGGCGGTGCAGGTGGGATTGGTAACAGACGTAACTGCCAGTGTGGGGATGGTGGTTCTGATCAAGCAACACAAGCGCCTGATCGTTCATGTCTAGAAAACTGAAACACCGATCCGGCAACAATGACGCGTCGTGTTCGTTGACGATGTAGAGGTTTGGGATTTTAGAGCCTTGCGGGAAATGCACTTACATCAGAGGGAGTGCCAATACGGCCACTGATCTCTTGCAGTGGCATTGATATGTCTTAGTTCTGAGTACAGGAATGGATATCCGACACGGTGGCTGTTGGATCGATACACAGAAGCCAAAGGATGCATCCTTTGACTGGCCCCTTTTCATGCTTCTTCGTGTCTAGTCTACCAACCTTGTGCTACGATACTCATGTGTTCGATTTTCTCGCTATACATGTATCAGTCGGTCAGGTTAAAGCATCCCGAAACACAACTGATACTTCAATTCTGGAAACTTGGGTTGCAGTTCGGGCGATTCGACGTAGGGGTCTGTATTTCAAGGCTGCAATCAACAAGCTCAGGTTGTGGCGACAGCGGTTATTATCCATGAAGTTTTTCGGCATGGGCAGCGGGAGATCAGGAGACGGCAGTTCGTTTTTCGGTTCAGGACACGACGATGACGACGACGATGACGAGGCCCTGCAACAGTTAAGAAAACATCTGGCTGTCCTCGCGCTTTGGGTGGCAGCTATTCGATCCGCACCCTACTTCCTTAGCATGTGGGAAAGCCATGGGTACAACCACCATTCTCTTACTTTCCCACTCCCTCTGATTTCGCCATCTTGCTCACAACCTTGCCTGTTACAATCCTCGCCATGAACCATACCTGTAACGTCGGTGAAGCTTTTAATGTAGCACTCAACAAAACGCTGGACTTTAAAACGTTGGCGCCACATCCCACTTAGCAATTACCACCAACATCGGCAGTCCTGGATACTTCTACCGTCTCATTATTCTGGATGTAATATTCAAAAGAGTCTCGTGACCTCTTCTTCGATTACTGAGAATGTCACAAACCTACTTTCTTATGACCTTTCTCCATTAGACGAGAGTTGATCACCAAGTTATTCCAGCCTATTGACAGTTTCACCTTTGAATGGTCAGGTAACCTGTTGAGAGATATAGAAAGCGAGAGAGAGACAGCATCAGTTCTCACAATCGAGGCGATCCTATGGTGCGATGCTGGCCTTCTGAAGTGCAGTGTGGCTGTGAGGGTGGGGTGCTATGTGAGACTTCAAGACAGTGAATGTGTGAATTCCTCAACATTTATCGTCCGTACCCACCTTCGGAGACATCCCGAGAAAACACCAAACTGATCCCTTGCTGTTCAGACTTGCACACACCCACATTTTACATCTCTTTTGCATGTCTTGATCTCAAGCCTTCGGTGCCATTTCTGCTGGCATCCGAGGTTTTGTTCGGATGCTCCTCTGTCGCCCTGGGTTTTAGCTGCAGATGATGCGGTGGAATTGCTGCTTCAAAACCTGAAGGAAATGATTAAGTCGATGTTTGACAAACACAGACAATAATTGCAATTTCTTTTTTAAAAAAATTCAAAAAAAGGGCATGTGATTTGTGTATTCAATGACTGGTAATTTGTTAAAAACAACATAAGAGTGTGTGTGCCAGGACAGCCAAATGTATGTATGTATATATATATACAAAGTATAACAAATGATACCACAAATTCTTGCTATAGCCACCACAATTTTCTATCAAACACATGCTGCTTTTGTTTAATGTCTATTAAATGAATCAAATTTTCTTTCTTTAATGTTTTTAAAATCATTTGGTTGAATAATTTTTTTGATTGGAATAAAAATTAAAAATAAGTAAAGTACACAAAATAATTATGTTGAGTAAGTGGCTAATTTGGTGGTTTTGTAGTACCACTACCTTATATATATAATTTTAGTATTGTTTCAGTCAATTTCAGTAGCTTGTTTAATAACTTAAAAAATAATAGTTATTAAATTGAATCTGCTGGTTGTTGATTCTTCAACTCTAAAATGACACAAATATAAAGAAACTTCAAATAAGGATAAAACATGGAATGTAATCTTCATTGAATTTATTTTTCTTTACAGTAGAGAATTTCTTGACTTTTCATTGTGATTTAAATAGAAGTTGCCAATGAAAAATATCAATTTTTTCTATTATATTTGAAAGATTCTTAGATGGATTCTATGTGCATTTATTAATATCATATCTACACTAATGTACAAGATTTTCAATCTATCTTCGCATTGTCTTAAGTCTGAGACCTCTTCCTCTTCCATTGTTATTCATTTTTTATATGAGAAATATATAGTATTCAAAATTTTAAAAAATTATGATATTTTAAATAAAGATGTGATTATAAATAATTTTATATTATATTTTAAAAATCAAACATTATCTAATGAATATTAATAGAATGATTATTCAATTGTGAGCTCCACCAATAGATTTTAATTGGTATAATTATTAAAAGTATAATTTTAAGTTATTTAATTATAAAAATATAAGAATTAAAAGAAATTATTGATTATTTACATGTTTATTAGAATTTAGAAGTGCATAGAAAATACAAGAGTCTTATTAGAAATAAAGTCATTAAATGGAATCTTAATAAGTCTTAAAAACAATTATCTTAGTTAATTTAATATTTTTTCTTATTATTAAATATTAATCATTAGTTATTGAGAAGTATGCTTATATTGGCCTTTTATCTATATATATTACTTATAAAAAATCTATAAATATTATTTAGTAATTAATAGAATTATGAAAAAGAACCTCATATCTTTTAAGTTATTTATATAAAAATTATAGTTGATTTAAATTTATTTTATCACTATAAAAAATCAATAAGATAAAAATTCAGCTTTAAATTGATATCAGTATCATAAAAGTAATATGAGAACTTTTATAATTTATTTATAATTATTTATGAATTTTTAGAGTAATTTTCAAGAATATGGTGAAAATAAGTTTTACCACCTTTTGAGCCATTTTAAAGAAATAAAGAAAGATTTGAAGGTTCTACAAGGTTCTTAAACTAATTGATTGTTTTTAAATACCATGGTGAGTTTAAAAATGTAAAAATCATTAGTTTACTAATAGATAATAGGAGGACTAGCATCTACTCTAGTTTTTGTAGGAAGGTGCACAATTTTTATATAGATTGTAGCACCTTAGATGTAGGTAAGAAGATATATTTGATGCCTTGTGGCCTCTCTAGGACACTCATATGCACTACTTGTGAGCCTTGATAAAGCTCAAACTCTTAATCACGTAAGAAAGTTATCTTTGATGTGAAAATAATTTTTTTAATTTTTTAATTTTTTATTATCTATCTTTAAACTATCATAACTTACTTATAATAACATGGATTTACATGTTTTTTTTTATATCATTGGAAAGATAAAAATTAGCTACTTAAAAATATATATATTTTTTATTTTTTATTTTTATTTTTTATTTTTATTTTTATTTTTTTACTAGATAAAAATCTAGTGAAACATTGTAACTAATTTTGTAAGTGCAATTGTTGATTGTGCTTATTCCACTTGTTTTGTGTTGTTGTTGTTGTTGTTGTTGTATTTTTTATTTTTTATTTATTTTTTTCTTCTTCTTTTTGCTTCTTCTACTTTACACCACTAATTACAATCTCTTGATTGAGACCATTTTGTAATTTGGGGTGAAGAGAGAATATTACCTTCATACTTATGCGATAATCCAGGATAGTAATGATATTTAAACTTATACTTTCTTACATCATAGTTGAAACTACTAAGATTACTTGGTCAAACCATTGCATTGAAACATCTACACATCTTCACCATTTTATAATTGATTATACATATCAAAATCAATGTTCAAATGTTTCTAATCATTTCTAAATTAAAATGTTTTGGCATGGTAAAGTGGTTACTTGAAAAAACATTATCCCTGTGTTGATAAACAATTCCATGCAACTAATTTATGAATTCTAATAAAGTGTAAATTTTTTTAAAGTATAAAAAAAAAATTAGACGAGTAAAAACCTATCACTTCTAGGAGTGCATTTTTATAACCAGTTTGGTTCATTACAGAAGGGCACCCACGCGGCATTACTGGAAAAGGTTGCATATTGTCATTACGCAACGCAAGGTGTGAGCAGGGATTCGACCCCGCGGGGATCACGAGGCATTTGGAGTGGAAACAGACGTGGGGAACGGGCGGCGTGAACGCGTAGGGATGGATAGACTTTCGCGGTTGCTACGGTAACAACAGATGAATAGAATCGCAATATGATGAACTGCAGTAGATGGATGAGAACGGAGATGTGCATCCAAAGGTTACACGTAGGTCGGTATGTTTCCAGGGCCCCTCGGCGAGCTCAATGCACAGTCTGCGCGGGATCAGCAACGCTCATTTGTTTTGGCTTCCAGTTTTCGTTTGTATTTTCTGCGTCTGCGTCTACGTCTGCGTTTTCGTCTGCACTTCTCTGTGTAAGCTCTCTCGATCAGCAATTTTTTTGGATACCTTGGGAAATTTTTATACCCGTATTTTTACCTGGGAATAGACACTAGACCCTTTTTCCTTGGTGCATTTGGTGAGGTCGTGATTTCGCTGGATCGGATGGGGGTGGTCGCGCGTGGGAATTTTGAAAGGGTTTTTGATTTTTGTGTTGTGTGTATCGTGGGTTTACCAGCTGTAAACGGATATTGGCGCAGGTTTTCCAGTCATTTTTCTTGCGGGACTTGCAGGGGTAGGAGAGTGGGAGAGCATTGTGTGGCGTTGCGGAGTGAATTGGTGGCGACAATTTTTTTGCATCCAAAAATCGCTGCTGAGTGGAGATGGCGGGACGGTATGATAGTAATCCGTTCGACGAAGACGAAGTGAATCCCTTCTCTGTAAGTAAAACGCAGCTTGGTATGTGTGTCTGTGGCTTTGGACCTTTTCTTTGTGCACATGGTTGTTTGTGATGGTTCAGAAAATCCGCTTCAGAACTGGATTTCCTTATGCTTCGACACTAATTTTCTGAGATCTTCCAAGAAGTTAGCAACGCGGTAAGCCACTCTTTAATGTATGAATTCTCTGGGGGATTAGGTTAACCTTTGGTTGAGCCAGCAGGTTCAGCCAACATTGTTCTTGACATCAAGAAGTTGTTAAGCCACACTTGCGTTGATACTGAGAGTGTCGTGGCGAATATGGTGGGAGCAGATGTGATTGAACTTTGTGGGCATTGTGCAGGATCCAGTGGTGCGAGCTCAGGCCGGGAAATCATCTTATGGCGGGGGCTTTTTCGACAAGGTAATTAATTTTGCAGTATTTAGTAGTTTTTATTGTTTTCTACAGCATCTTGATTTCTTGGTCACGTGTTTTGGGGCAGTTCGGCCCCTCGTCCTAGATTGGTATTTATGATGACATAATTTTTTTTATCTGTTGTACAGTAGGATTCTCGATTGTTTTTAATATTATCATGCACTGCGTGTATGAAGTCTGTTGATAAAAAACTGTTAGAAATCTTAAGCCAAACTTTTTGCAGTGAGAGTGAGAGGCAGCTTTCAACTCTGGATAACTAATTAAGACTTCTGTCCTAATTAGAACCTTTGCAAGGACGTGCTTCAGTGCGGAACCTTTATTCATTTTCTACTTCAGATTATTGTCATCGTTAAGCTGGAAGTTGTCTATCTTCAATAATAAACGGCTCAGCATTGAATACGAGTCTTTTTTCGCTGACAAATGTGGGCTCGAGGTTGTAATGTTCTGGCGAAAGTACTTTGCTAATTTGGGTCCGTATCATGTCCAGAATGTGCCACAGGTTACCACAATGTCACCACTTCCGCATGAGCCAATTTTTTCCGGCTCAGTAGCTTCAAATGAAGCAACAGTAGATATACCCCTTGGTGGTTCGAAAGTACGTTTGACCATGTGATTCTCGACATTATTTTCTTGATTTAATGCTCCTTCTGATAGTTTACTGAGAATTAGTTGCTTCCTCACACTTCTAGAGTACTTTTTATTCCAGTATAGGGATGATCTTACATGGTTCTAATGAAACAGATGTTTTCCTTCTTCTTGACAGGAGTTGAAGCAGAAGGAGAGAGAGTTGAGGGCCAAGGAGGAAGAACTAAAGAAAAGAGAGAAGGTGCGAAATGGACAGTGATAGTTCTGTTAGGGAGGCTAGTTACATGTGCACTTTTGTGTGGTGCCTCCTAGTTCAAGTTTATTTATCCAAAGTCACCTCAAAAGAATTAAATATTTTTAATACCTTGACCCCCCAACAGTTGTAAAAGAATCGTAGGGTCCAGTAAATGATTTAGATGTTGATTTTTTTCATTTCGTTTGTGTTAGTTTTATGAAGAATGTTGCACTGGCCAGGGGTTTTTAGTTACTAATCGGAGGTTTTGCTCTTGCGTAGGAGCTAAAACGCAGAGAGGAAGCTGCAGCAAAAGGTTGGTAGTGACTTGTCCATACTACTTTGGTTCACCATTTTCAGTAGCATGACCAGAATGTATCTTATAGCGAGCTGAAAAAGTTTTGCGTGTTATGAACTTCTGTTATATGTGGGTTCTTGAATAGAATTGATGTTAAATTTGGACCTGCATTTTGACATGCCACTGTCTAATGTGGATGGTTCCCTACATCAAGCAGGATGGTATTGATTGTTTCTTTTTGGTGGGCTTTGGTCAGCTGGTATTCTCATTGAGGACAAAAATTGGCCACCGTTTGTTCCAATTCTTCATCACGACATTGCTAATGACATACCAGCACATACTCAGCAACTACAGTACCACGCTTATTGGAGCTGGTTAGGTATGGAGCTTTGGCGCAGTACAGATAGGCAACAGTTCCTGGTTTTTCCTTGCTAAGGATCTTCCTGCTATCGATTTAATTTGATTTAAATTTGTAACTGGTTCATCTCGGGAAGATTTGATAACGATTTAAACATGAGTTTGAGCACGGTCGTAGATCATAGGATTCCTTTTATGTATTTAATTTGAAATGAAGCTACCAAATGAACCCATTTCGCTTCCCATTGACATGCTTTTGTCACTGCATTAGGAATTTTATTTTGCCTATTGTGGAACTTCATCTGCACAACAGTAGCTTGGATTGCTGGACCTGGTGGTGAGTTAACTTTGCTTTTAAATCTTCTCTTTATATTTGTCTTATGCTTGTCGTACGTGTATGTGTGTGTGATACTACTTGACGTGCTTGATAAGTCTGTAGCTGATATATTCTGGTGTTGGCAGACGTGTTAATATGGCTTATGGGTATAATCTTCGTGTTAGCTGGCTATCCTGGTTCTTACTTCTTGTGGTATAGGCCACTTTATCGTGCGATGAGGTGAGCAATACGTGACTTCAGGAATCTCATCTGAAATTGTTGTGAAGATTCATAATGCACAATTACTATGTCTGATTATAATTTTTACACAGTTGGGGTCTATCCATCACGAGAGTTGATTTCTAATGGATAGTATACTCTGGCAGGTCTGACAGTGCCCTGAAGTTCGGTTGGTTCTTCCTCTTCTATTGTGTAAGTGTTTTCGATTAATTGCTGAGTAAGGGTTTTTTTTTTATTTTTTTTATTTAGGGGCATATTTGAACAGGACCAGCTATACTATGTATCAAGTGGATCAATTTTTATCTATTACTATGTGCTCCTACCTAGAGCAACGAAGTTGCATGTTAATTTTTCAATTTTTTGTTATTTATTATTTTGTGTGGGAGTCTTCGGAAATTATGCATTTTTTTTTTTTTTTTTTTTTTTTTTTTTTTTCTAGCTTGAATGTAGTTTTGATCATGAGTGCTCTAAACATGTGATTGTGTTGACTTTGTATAGCTCCATATTGGTTTCGTTGGATTGGCTGCAGTTGCTCCACCAATTTTCTTTAAGGGAAAATCTCTTGCGTGAGTTTCCGTGGATCCGTTTAAAAAGATTTTCTTTTTATTTGTATGACCAGGTGGAATTGTAAATATTTTTCTTTGAGAAGGTCAGGTTAGCGTAGATTTTTACTCAAGTGCATGAGTTGGGCTTTATGAATACAGGGGACTGTGGCCTGCCATCGGCTTATTTGGAGATAACGTTCTAGTTGCTGTGAGTTTGCCCTTCAATTTGAACTTGATGCTCTAATAGCGATCCTTCAATTTGAAATGATCTTGAACAATCTGTAAATAGTTGTATGCTAGTATTCAGAAACTTGACTGCACGATTTTTCTGCGCAGATTTTTTATGTGTTGGGTTGCGTCTTTTTCTCACTTGAGTTGTTGTTGAGTATCTGGGTTATTAAGGTAATTTATCTCTATACTTCCTACATTTTAAGAAAAGCCCATGATCTTTCCATGTGACGCTTAATTAGTGTCATATCTGACAGTTTGTGTGTACGATATTATGTGGTATGTTACGTTTTCAGTCCATCCCCCTTTTCGGAAGGGGAACTGTCATATGACTCATGAGCTTCTTTGTAGAGCATGAATGGCTTGAGATTTGCTTTTTCTCGTTTCAAAAGTTGAAGTGGTGTAACTTTAAAAATTATGTTTCCAGTGTAGCCAATGAAAATGTGTGGTTTTCTGTCTCCCAGGAAGTGTATGATTACTTCAGAGGCTCCGGTAAAGCAGCGCAACTTAAGCGAGAAGCTGCAGGTGGTGCTTTCAGAGCTGCTATATGATTTGACACATCTAAGTAGACTGGTCCGAAGTATTTCGTGTATATTGGATGTAAGTTCGTCATTGATCTTGATTAGATGTTTCCATCAAATTAAACTGACTGGCGGGGAGTTTTGCAGTGTATCTAAGGATTTTGTAGTGAACAGTACAAGGTAAAACTAATAGTGTGATTAGCCAATGCTTTATTTACCTGTTCGTAATTGTATTTCCGTACGCTGATATGGTTCAGCTTCAAACTCCCCTAACTGAATTTCTTGAAATTTGTATTGGAAATGGTAGCGGCTAACTCTACGCTCAGCGGGGTCTCATTGTGTTATCAACTACGAATGTTTAGTTTTCTCGCCACATTAATAAGTTGGATAACTACTAGTTCAATAACTAGTTTGACGAGTACTTCACGCTTCCAATGAATGGGTAATGTTAAGTGATTTGACCTTTACAGTCACCAGGTCCTGTTCCAACAGGCAAGTGCTGTACCATTCAAGTTCATCTTGGTGCATAATCAGATCAATTATCTTTTGTGCACGTGACCTTAGCAGATAAGTCATTGCACTGAAACGAAGCTCAAAATTATGTAGCATTCTAAGGGTCCACTCGTTCTCAGCCAGGTTGAAGAGACTTTCTGTAGACTTCTTATTCCAGTGAGCAATTTATGTGGTGCATAGTAGAAAAAGGGTTACATATAATAAACATTTATACTACTTATTTAATACTAAATTTCATATTTAAAAAAAAAGAATTAAATCTTTTCAAAAAAGAATTCATCATCAAAAGTTTTCTAATAAATTTAACATAAAAAGTATAATAAATCTACCAAACAAGTTTATATTATGTGTATCTTATAACCTATTAGCAACTTTCAAATAATTACAATATTGTGTAGGAACATGTAATATTAAATTGCTAGAATTTTTTTTTTGCAAAGAATATGTACATGGATAAATACTTAGAAAATATAAATTATAAACAACTTTCAATCAACATTTATTTACAAAAATAAAAGGTTAGATCTTAGAAATACTTTATAAATACAATCACTTATATATCAAAAAGATTTTTTTTACAAAAGCCTATTATCCAAATTTGTAAATGAGTTTTTGATAGATATTGATAGAAACCTACTTAGTAATATCTCAAAAAAACCTATTTACAAATAAAAAAATAAATTAAAAAAAAAAACTAAACTAAATTATACAATACAAAAAAAAAAAAAAAAAAATCCTTAATGACATTAAAAAATAAATAAATGGTATATGTCTATTACTTCTTCAATAGCAAATCAAATTCTATTTTTGTTTGTAGAAATTTATAATTTCTAAATATAAAAAAATTCTAATTAATTTATCAAAAAAAGAACAATTATTGAATCTACAAATTCTTTTTAAGCAACACTATTACTCAAAGATTAGCAATCACTCTCTGCATATTTCATTACCAACTTCATTTTAATATATAGTGACCTTCAAAACTATTTCAATGTTTATACTAGATACATTTAAAAAATAATGTAAGTAAGAAAAATTCATAGAATAGAATGTAGTAGATGTATTAAAATAATACATACAATGTATTAGTTTTTTACAAAAATTCCAACAAAATTTAAGCACTTAATAAAAAGAAAAAATATACTACAATTACTCTCCATGTTGGGATAATTTTAAAGGTCCAACATGGAAATTCTTCATTACTTTGTTTATTTTCTTTTGGCTTTCAATACAATTGCTAATTGTATGGACATTGTTTCTAAAAGTCTCTTGTAATCATCAACAATAATAAAAGAGAAGGTATCTTCTATACAATATCATAATTCAAGTATTCCTTTTAGAGGTGTATCATATTGATTTAATTTCTTTTTTAAAATGGACCAAAGATTTTCTTTAGTATTCAAATCTAATGACTGAAGAGGCTAAGATACAACAGTAAGATGATACCTAAAAAACCATTGTTTCATACTATTATTACTATGTATATGAATATTTTGCTATTGAAATATAACTTTTGATACATTTAAATGTCAAGGACATTAGTCTCAAAGAACTATAAGATCAATACATTCTTGTATCACTTTAAAAGATTATAGAATCACTCAAAGATGGTATAATATTAAACTAAAATGGTTATTGCCAAAGGCAAGAAGACTAAAAAGTTTTGAAACAAGACTAAAGACTAAAAAGTTGTTAATAAGAATGAAGAAGACTTCATTCTTTTTTCCACATATACTATCCAACTAAGAGCTACATGGCAACATCTTGTAAGACTTCAAATACATGTTTAATTTGCAAGACACATGTCTTAACTTGCAAGACAAGTTTTTTAAATGTTTGCCACATTGTTAGCTTGTACTATAAGCTATCTACACATGTGATACTTGGTTAACTTGTTGACCAAATTTCTAATCTATCAATCAATCATAAACATATATAAATTCAAATATGTGTCTTTGAATCTTCTAAGAGCCTATGCCATAAGATAATATCAAATCTACATATATTTCTTATGTAAGTAAATATATATGTCTATGATATTATCTCTCTTTCTAGAAACAAGTTCCATGAGGAGTGGTCATCATATGTTGATGAAGTCTAAAATATGGCAAATTATATTTGCCACATACTTTGATATTTATTCTTTTTAAAGGTGGTTGATAGGTCCTCTCACTCATCGATAATGTCATATTCCGTAGTAAAAAGATTATCCTATTATTTGGTTGTTGTTGAGGTGTTCGTAACTTCTTTTAAATAAAATATTTGTAAGACCATCAGGAGTCATTCCTACCTCTAATAAAATTAATAAACATTGAGAATCTCTTCTTAGGTTGTGATATCTAATACATTGTTGTAAAACGTGAAGCCTTACTTGAGAATGCACCAATCATCTGGTTGTGGAAGGTAGAAGAAAAATAAATCAAATTAAGGACACAAAATTTGAAGAAGATTAAATTTATCAAATAAAAGATCAATCCTAGATTTTGCTTAGATGTTGGCTAGCTTCCTACTCTAATCTAAATGTTGAACTTCTAGTGCCAATATCTCTTTCTTGAACTATTGAATTGCTTCTAAATTTTACCTAAATTTATTTAATTTCACCTAAATCAAGTCTAATATCTACATTTTTTTTTTTTTTTTTTTTTTTTTTTTTTTTTTTACTATCTAATTTTTTTTTTTTAAATCTAATTTTTTACCATCTAATTTCAAATTCTATTTTTTTAATTTTTTACCATATAGTCATATTATTATATGACAATATTATATCTTGCCATCTATTTTAGGAAGAACTTATCATTCTTGAAAGTCTTCATCTTGATTATATTGTCTTGAAGGTTGTAACAATCATAATATCTCATTTGGTAAGTCAACAAATAATAATCTTTGAGTTAAATCTATTGATTGTTAATTCTCTATTTCTTTAGTACCACAAATATACATAAATTATAATCAAATAGAAAACAAAATATAATCTTTTATGAACTATATTTCTTTTATAGCAAAGATTTTATATTCTTCATCTTAATTTTGATGGATATTATGAATGAAAAATATCAACTTTCTTTCTTGCATATATTAGATTCTTAGCTAGCTTCTATGTGTATTTATTTATATTATATTTGTACTAATAAATAAGATATTCCAACCTATTTTGGCACTGCCTTGAGTCTAAAATTCCTTCTACCTCAAATTCTTGATTATTATCTATTTTTATAGGAGGAGGTGGCATTTATTTATTTTTTGAGATATTCACTATCTTATATGGCTCAAGAAGAGATACGTGGAATATATAATTGATCATCATAGATTCTTGTTGATATAATTAATAAGCAACTAGATTGATTTGCTCTCAAATATGAAATGATTCAAGCCTAAGATAATCTAATTTTTCACAAATGTAGCTAGTCTCAATAATATGAAAAAGTAATTATATTTTGTTGCTAATGTAGAATTAAAATTATTCTTTACAATAGACATCTGTATAGATCTTTGATGTTCTTGAATTCATAGTAAAAAAATTCTTTTGTTTTGAACCTAGTTGTACCTTTATTATTGTATGTAGCTCAGATAAGGAATTTGTCAAATTTATTTGCTATAGGATTATTGTAATTATTGTTTTACTTATTCTATAAATTCTTTTCAAAATAAACCTATAGAGGGAGATTCTAACACAAAGAAAGACTAAGCACATGAGTTCTACTTGTTAGGATCACACAATTAACTATATGCCAAACCACTGAAAACACCAAAGAACACCACAATGTTTTCCACTTCCTAATAGTACTCCGCCATCACTAATAACAACAACGTGTAATCCCGTACTATCCTAAAAAACAATACATAATCATTCCATAATCCAAACACTGGAATCCTTTACCACTAACTGTCCTTCTCAACATACTTCTTCACAAAATTCCAGATTCTACAGACTCCTTCTGATGAATCACTCTCAATTTCCAATATTCAATGTATTATAATCCTTCCATTCATATCCATTCTTTACAAATATTTCCAATTATTCTCTTTCAATTCACCATTGTATAACTCAATAATTAATAAAGTATTGATCAATTGCCGCATCCAATTGATCAATTGCCGGATTATTTGTTATTGATTCAATCGATTTTGGTTCGAATTATAAATCTTCCTCCTCCTCTAATCCTTCTATCGATTCTATATTGGTAACAGTTATCATAGAAGGTGTTTTTGATGCGCGTTGAGCTCTCACATTTTCGCCACTGTCCTCTTTGTTTGTAGCTCACATTGCACTTTCAATTGCCATGACCCTCCCTCTGTCAAGCTTTTAACTGGAACTACTACTCTTGAATATGCAAGGAATACAAGAAATGGCAATCTCAAAAAAAACAATCTAAAATGACACCACAAAATCACTTCTAACTGGTGCCCCACTCCTATTTTCTTACTACTTGGTGATAATGACAACATGTTACTCATATTGTCCATTTCTCACCTCTCTCTTATCTGACACATTAGTAATTACTAACTATCCTTTCAGTCGCCTCTACACCCTAATGCACTTATATTATAATTAGGTCTATCTTGAGTCCATTCAAAGTCAGCTCCTCTAAAAAAATAAAAATCCGTCCCAGATTTTATATATTATATAATCATAATCGATTCTCATTAATACGGGTGCTGAATCGATGGCCCATAAAATCCTTCAATTGAACAGACCCATTGGAAAAACCTTCAACTACGTGATATGGCCCATGCCAACAAACTTGAAATTTGTCCGAAAAATGATTAAACCGGCTATTATACAACAATACCAAATCATTGGGCATAAAACTCTTCGGACACAGTTTACTATCATAATAACTCTTCTTCCGTTTTTGAGTTGCTTCCATGTTGAAAAGAGCTATAGCTTGTATT